TATATATATATATATATATATATATATATATATATATATATATATATATATACTCCCCCTTGCTTCTTCTAATATAAAGCTTAATATTTACAACAAGTGAATAATAAATATTATGAATATAATTTTTTAAATTAAATTTTTATTTATATTAGAAAGAACATAGGAGGAGTATATATATAATATATAATGTAAATAAGAATTATCGAGTTAAAAAAACCAAAGAAATTTTTTTTCAGATGATTTTGAATTGTCATCAGAGAATGCGATAAAAACTCTTTTAGAATGAGAGCTTTTAATATTGATATTTAGAGGTCGCGAGTAAAAATTTTTTTTTTCTATTTTAATAACTTAAAAAAAAATATTTTTAAGCTTTTGATTTATATATCTTGTCTCACAAACAATTTATCGTCTAGCGTGATTCATATTTTTATAGAAAATTAAACCTTCTACAAAAAAGATTGTTTTATGATTTGTCGATAAATTTGCTGTTCAAACGTTAAATCATCTAATATTTAGATTATCATTCTATGACTAAATTTCAAGATCGTTTTTTAGAAAATTTTGATGATTTTGAAAGTAAATAGACCATTTTTAATTAAAAGGTACTTCCGATATCGATGATAAAACAATTATTTCATTTATTTTAAGTAATGTTATCATCTTTCTTATTATTAGGTTTAATTTAAAGGATTGGCGATAACATTAAAGGAATTTTACCTTAGCCGGATAAATTATTTGACGTGGAATTCATGTTTTTATGAATATATTTTTGAATCAGGAAAATTTTATTTTTCTACTCAAGAATTCATTCTTTCTGTGTATTATCTAAAAAAAAAATTTTCGAGCTAGAACGATTTCATACTGATCAAACTTTTGTAATTTTTAAATTGTAGACTGAAACTTTTAAATTTAAAAAATAATTTAATTGAAATTCTATAAAATCTACGATAAAGTTTTAGATTAGTAATTATAAAACAAATAAATGCAGTTCATTCTTAAAAATTAATCTATTTTCTATATGTATATTTAATTATATATATATATATATATATATATATATATATATATATATATATA